GCCAAGGATCCAAGGGCCAGAGAAAGGCCTGCCTATGGGCATGGCAGAGGAGAGGTTGTCCTGACTGGAAAAACTGTTGCCTGAACATTTCTGACCCTAAATTGTAACCTGTTAACTTTCCTAATAAACCCTTTAACTGTGGGGGGAAAAAAAAAAAATCAACTCAATGACTCCAAGTCTGCTTTGCTCTTCTGGATTTTTGTTTTGGGTTGTTTGTTTGTTTGTTTTTATCATCCAAGGGAGATTCAAAAAGTTCATGGAAAATCAGAATGAAAAAATAACAGAATTTTCCACAAACCTTTTCCACTCCCTCGTATATCCTAGTCTGAAGTACTGACTAGCTAATGGCAAACACAATAGGCAAGTTCAAACTGGAACCTTTATCAAAACACAGCTACTTATGCTGGGGGACGTGGAGGCACAGGAGAGGGGACTCAAAGGCTGATGCTCAGAGTGGGTAATGAAGCCACACAAGAAAGCATTTGGTCAGCTTCTTTTTTTCTCTCTCAGAAAAAGAATGTTTACAATATGACATGCACTGACTGCCAAAGGAAGTCTAAAATGAATAACCACATTATTGGATATTTTTAGCCTTTCTTTTCATAAATGTTTTGTGTTACTGCTTTCCAAATAATTCCAAATCTTGCAAGTTAGCCAGAAGGAGGAATGGGGTAAAGAGTGTGTTGTTCATATGTGAGAGTATATATGATCAGTGACTAATTTACTTTTGAATTTCTGTTAACAGAGTATGCCTTTGTGAGTCCTTAAATACACACACACAAAATCACAAAGAACGAATACTGGTCTTATGTGTGGTACTGTGGGTTAATGCACTGGATCGCAAGGTTGATTTCAACCGCCAGGTCAGCCGTTCAAGCTCACCAGCTGCTCCTCAAAAAACCTATACAGGGTAGCTATGAGTCAGAACCAACTCAACAGCACTTAACACAAGATGGGGCTGTATCCAAAAAAAGAAGAAATGTGCAAATTACTTTTTTAAAGAAACACAACCCATTGCCACTGAGCCAATTCCGACTCATAGCAACCCTGTATAATAACGAAATCACTGTAGAACAAGCAAAATGAGTAACAGATATGCTGTATTCAGTAACATAATGCTTAAAAGTTAGTTTAAGTATATTTGCCTCTAGTGACCTACCTCCAACACTACTCATGTAAAATAACGCAAACTCATTGCTATTGATTCTAACAATAAGACATAGAACTAATAAGTAAAGAGGTAAAAATATACTTGAAGTATGATAAGGAAAATACCTCCTTATGGACTGACTGTTGATGTGGCTCTGGACTGTGAATTACAAGATCAGCAGTTCAATCCCACCAGCTGCTTCTTGGAAACCCTATGTAGGATCACTTTGAGTCAGACCTGACTCAACAGCACTTAATAACAACAAGGAGAATACACTAAAGGAGACACTTGTGGCCTGTTACACAGAATCACACAGGCTTGCCTTGCAAATCCTTGCAAAACAAATTAAAAATTTTTAAACCTGTGCATGGTAGAAGACACTTTAAAGCTTTTCAAGACTTCTCCAAAATCAAGTGTCTCATTTCCTTATTCCCATTAACTACCAAAGGCTCAACAAGTGAAAGCTAGGAGGCAAGACAAGCTCTAGACCATTTCTATGCATCCTGTATTTAAAGGTCATTTGGTTTTACTGGAAAATCAGAATATATGAATTATAAATAACAGAACTGTCTATTATCTATAGTTCTGCTTGAAACCATCATCAGTTGTTATTGTTAAGTGCCACTGAGTATGTTCTGAATCACAGCAACCCTTTAGAAGGTTTCTGAGGAGTGGCTGGTAGGTTTGAACCACAGACCTTTTGGTTTGCAGTCCAGTGCTTATCCTACAGTACCATACTAGGTATCTATTGTTGTTGTTGTGTGCCGTAGAGTCAGTTCCGACTCATAGCGATCCTGTATAGGGTTTCCGAGGCTGTAAATCTTTACGGGAGCAGAAAGCCTCATCTTTCTCCCGTGGAACAGCTGGTAGTTTCGAACTGCTGACCTTGCGGTTCGCAGCCCAATTTGTAACTATTTCGCTACCAGAGCTCCTGTTGCATATATATACATATATATCTATACATACATATCTATACATATATATATATATGTCATTTGATTTTACTAGAAAATCAGAATATGCAAATTATAAGTTACAGAATTGCCTATTATCTACAGTTCTACATGAAATCATGATCTATATATATCCTCTGAAATAGTGAATCCACAAGTACAAATTATGAATACTAATGAAAATATCTATAGGATTAAAAACAAAACAAAACACACATTGCCATTCTGTCAATTTCAATTTATGGCAACTCGCTGTATTCAAAACAGAACTGCTCCCTCCATAGGGTTTCCAAGACTGTCACCTTCCAGCAGCAGCTCACCAGGGCTGTCTTCCACAGTGCTGCTGGGTAGGTTCAAACTACCATTCTTTTGGTTAATTGTTAGTGTTGTGAAGCGCTGTCAAGTCAGTTCTGACTCACAGTGACCCTGTATATAGTTTTCAAGGAGTGGCTGGTGGGTTTGAACTGCCAACCTTGCATTTATAAGTCACTGTGCTCCCTTATATCCAAATAAGATTTTAACTATTTTCTTTCTTTTTTTTTTTTTTAAAGAGCATGATGTTGTTGTTAAGTGCCACTGAGTCGATTCCAACTCATAGGGGCTCTGTAAAAGGTTTCCAAAGATGAATTGTTTTGAACAGCCGACCTTGTGGTTCAGAGCTCAGTGCTGTTCCTACAGCACCACACCAGGAGTTCAAGAGCAAAATAAGAAACAGATAATCTTTTCTTTATTTGCAAACCATATGAGAATACTATTATTATTATTGAAGATGTAAAGAAGTTGAGAGAAAGAAGTTGGGATTCATGTCTTTGCCTGGCAAGAAAAGAAAGAAATTTCTTGTGCTTCCTCCCTGTTTGCCCATCCTGAATTTACCACAAACATCTTCTCTCTGGATATTTTCAAGAGTTCTAAAAAAAAAAAAAAAATCACATTTCCCTAGCTTTTCCACCAGGTGATATAGCACCAATATTATATATATATAGGGCGTGGCGCTGTGGGCTAATGCGTCAGACAGTCAAGTCGTTTGAACTGCAAGGTCAGCGCTTCAAGCTCACCAACTGCTCCTTGGAAGGTATGGGTCAGAATATATATATATATAGAGTCCTGGTGTGACGCTGTAGGATAAGTTCTGGACTGCAAGGGTGGTTTGTTCATATCCACCAGCCGTTCCTCAGCAACCCTATCTGAGTACTTCTGCCCTGTGAAGAAGTATCTCACACCAGAATTGAAGAACAAGCCACTTTCTGGAGATTACTAGCCACTATTCTGAAATAAACTTCAAACTATGATAATCATCACTGACAAATGCATGTCAAATGGTAACAGCAACATAAGCGAAGGAGAAAGCAGAGTGGAGAAAGGAATGATATTTAAGGGAGGAACGAAAGAGTCAAGGGATAAAAGAAAAAATTTTTTTTGCAAAGCCAAGTGAAAAAACTACAAGGAAATGCAATTCTATAACCTACTGGGTGAGGGTACGGGTTGGTTTCTGGTTCCAAACTTCATGGCAATCTCATGCCGTCAGAACACACTCTTCTGAAACTAGGAGAGCACTCAAAGTGACAAGTAGTGCATAGTTAAGCCTCAGAACAATGAAGAAAACGAGTACACCAGACCTTCACTTTGGATTAACTGCTGCTACAGAGTAAGCGCACTTCACCCTTGCCCTTCACTGCCCCTTCTTCCCCTCCTGGTTTGGAACTTTAGAGGCTGAAAAGACTAGAACTTCCGAATCCTAAAAGTAAATTGAGCTCAGAAAGTGTTAAATAAACTTAAAAGGTCTAGAAAGGAAAAACTGACAGATTACTGCCTCCCCACCCCCTAAAACTAATCATCCGGGCCGTTGAACGATTTTTCTTGCATCTAGCCTCCAGAACTAGAGCTGTTAGAAACGTTTGGTGCGCGTCTGCTGTTTTTGAAAAGCAACAAGTTTGTTCCATTACAACCTTCTCTAATCTGATGTCAGCATGGTTGGGTTGGCAGGGCTCCCTGGTGCGGTTCCCAAGGCCAGGAGGGCGCGAGTTTAAGCACCAGACTAGAAAGCCCTGCAACAGAGCTCCGTTTTGGAAAGGCCTCCTTGAAAAACACTTTCACGGTTGGCGAAACTGGCCCAAGTCCCCTTTCCATCTTTTCCCAAGTCATGCTTCCTCCAAAAAAGGAAGAGAGTGGCCTAAAGCTTAGCCCAAGAGCTAGCACCAGAACGTGTCTGCAAAATAGTTTAGGCACCTATAAACGTGGCTTCACAGGAAATGTACAACCTTGACTCCAGCAACTTATGGAGCGCCTACAGTCCTCAGACCCCGCGCTTCCCTCTGGCTCCTTGGACGCACCAGACCAAGACTGTGGGGCGGCCAGGTCACCGCGGTCACCCCAGGTAATACATGCCCCTTCCCCTGAAAATATTCAGAGGGCTACAGGCCACCAATAAGACCAAGAGTAGGGGTGGCACACGGACCTAGTTGTTTATCCAGTGGGGGCGCGAAGGGCGTTCCCCCGGCGAAGAGGAAACGCCGGGAGTGGCCTGGGGACGCATAATCTCTGTCGGAACTGCACCCCCGCAGCCCGTACAGCGCACGGGATCGGTCGGGAGGGCGGCGGCCACGGGCAACCCCGAGGCGGGGCCGCTACACCAACTGGCGCGGAAGGCAGGAGAGGGCGCCTCAGCCTCCGCGCTGTTCCTCCTTCTTCCCTCGCCCAGGGCGCCCCCAAGCATTCATCCCCTGATCCAAATCAAGTTCCCTGATCCAAACAGGCAGAAGCCAGTTCTCGGAGGCCTCCTCCGACCCGGCGAATATTCCCCCCGCACACCCCTACGGAGCCACGTGGAGTTGTGAGGCACGGGGCGGCGGGATCCCTGGGAGCAATGGGGCGCGGGCCACTCCCCAAGCACCACTCACTTGCAGGCCGGCACGGGGCTTCCCTTGGGGCGCTCTCCTGAAGAAGGAGGTCCTGGCGGTGAAGAAGAAGTCCTCGGCGTCCTCCTCCAGGCTGCTGTAACCGCTGCTCATGCTGCTGGTCCCGTCGCGCGCGGATAGCCTCTCCCGGGCGCAAGCGGCCAGGCAGG